TCATGGAAAATGATACTTTCAAACTTCAGTGGAATGGGCCCATATACAGCCTCAGAAGAATTCCTGCCAACAAACCTGATCTTGTGCTTTTTGATAAAGCTAATGAATTTTTTTATATTATTGAATTGTCTGTCCCTTTTGACAGCAATGTGATTGGCAAGATTCAGGGAAAGCATGACAAATATGCGGACCTCGCCTTTGAAATGTCTCGCTTGCATCCCAAGTACACTGTCGTCAGGCTCCCCATTGTTCTCGGTGCCCTTGGTTTGATACCTCCTGATTTCTTGGCGCAGATCAGGAGAGTGCCCGGGTTCTCCACTGGGAGAACAGCCCTTCTGGTAATGCAGAAGGCGGCAGTGTTGGGGAGCCTTCATATTATCCGAAAAGTTCTTGGTGGGTCGACTAGGCAGCGTTTCCTTGGAGAAGTCCCATTCGCTGTCACGGCTGCGTGTAGAGGGGGCTGGGTCTGAGCTGATGATGAGCCTTACCAACCTGACTGTGCCAGGATCACCCGAACCCTCTCTGCTGCATTTTCATCTTTAATCTGTAAAACATAATAATATTAATAATATGATAAGCCTTACCAGCCTGACTGTGCCAGGATCACCCGAACCCTCTTTGTTGCATTTTCATCTTTAATCTGTAAAATATAATATGAAGTCTTCAAGTGTGTTCCCTTTATTGTTGGTAGCGATACTTATCCACAAAGGGTTATGTCCGTTAAGATCACCCATGATAAAACAGGGTTTGGGAAATTGATCGAATATATCCTGAAGATCGGACTGCTGAAAAGCCGAAGATGTACAGGGAACAAAGAGTGAAGGTTATTCGTTAAAAAAAGCCAAGAACAATAGCCTGAAGATTGCTTTAAAAGGTCACATGCAACCCAAAAACACAAAAACAAAGTTGTGTATTGCAAATTGTCATTAGCAGACAGGCAGGCAGACACATAGGTGTCAATAAAACAGACACCGAGTTTTGTCTGTGACAGAGGCTTATCTATATCACAGTTAGAAATACTGACAATGCTAAATGATGACGTTGATGCTATTTTTTCATTTTTGATCATTTGTTACTGTAAGTCCATACCGAAAGGTATCAGAATCTGCAAAGTAAGTGTTTTACGTAGCATGTGACCTTTAAGAGAGACAGGACTATGAATAACACACTTACCAAAACAGAAACGCCTCTGGTGGTTTTATCACTCAGAGGTGAAAACCAATGAAATTGATTGTACTGACGAAATTCAAATTTATCTGTACTTCTCAGGTATGTCTTTTGTATACTAAAAGCTGATGGTTTAAAATCTTGCGATAAAAATTGTAGGTCGTTAAAATTGTTCTTAGGGCCTCTGCAATTCCATTGTATAACACCACTGTCATTGGATCCAGCACAATATCTTCTATATTACCGGATAGCAGCTCCATTTTTACAGCTGAAGCAAACGCCATATTAACAGCTCTTAAATACATTCAAAGACATCCTAAATATAAACAATATATAATCTTTTCTGACTCCCTTTCTTGTCTTCAGGCCTTATAAATATCTTTCTTGTAAACATCCACTTTTATTAGAAATTAATGAATTGTGTAATGAGCTTGCTACTGGCAATGCGACATCATCTTTTGTTGGTTACCCAACCACGTTGGCATTTCTTTGAATACAGTGGCTGATCTTGCTGCTAAGGCAGCACTCAACAAATCTGTGGGACCACTTCTTATTCCATACTCTGATTACAGAGCTAGCATTAGAACTTACATCCGTGATCTGATGCAGAAGAAGTGGGATACCCAAGTAGATATCAATAAATTACATGCAATAAAATCTTATAATGGTTACACCTATTTGGATTGTCAGTCCAGATTTGAGGAGGTCATTATGCCACGATGTCGCATTGGCTATACGCGTTATACTCACAAATATATGTTATAAGGTGAGGATCCTCCGTTTTGTATCCCTTGTGATGAGAGAGTCACAGTCAAGCATCTCCTGTTGATTGTGTTGAATTCTCCATCATAAGGGATAAATACTTCAATGTTACAACTGTTAAGGATCTTTTTAATACTGTGGATTTTCATTAATTATTGTTTTTTTAAAAGAAATTAATTTAATTAATGAATTTTGATTAATATGTTCTGTAGATAGATGTATTTTAATAATATGTAGTTTAAATTAGTAACTTAGATTGTCAGTTCAAGTTTGTACATGCAGATATTTTTAAAATTATGCTTAGCAATTGTGGGAAAGGGAGGGAGGTCATTGATTTTGAACATGACATGCAGGGGGGCACTTATTTTGTACATATATTTTAGGGGAGGGGGGGGCATTCACATTATACATGCTTCTCCATAAAAACCATCATCACCTCCCACGGAATCTGCTTATCTGTGGTCCAGTTGATAGCGGTTTGGCAACCAGTATCAACTTTGATAGAAAAGGGGACTGCAGCAGAATAAATGATTTGTAGAAGAAGGAGCAGGTGACTCTTGATCAACCAGTTTTCTTGCTTCTGCAAAGGAAAATTATTTTTTTTGTCTTACAAAACAGGGACATCTTTTGGCAGAGGTCAGGTGGTCACCATTACAGTTTGCACACTTGATATCACCAGTGCAGTCCGTGTCATCATGATTTTTACTGCGCCAAGTGCAAACTTGGGCATTTCTACATGATCTAGTACAGTGAGCACATTGTTGGCATTTAAAGCAACAGAGTGGATTTGGTACAAATGTACAAATCCACTCTGATGTTGAAGTGCCCTGCTTTGAAAGAAGAAGGAATCTTGGATAGACTAAACGTGGAAAGGTATGAGTTGGTTTTGAAGATGTTGTCACCTTCTTTTCTAGTGAAACGTTGTACCGAAATTACTTCTTGAGATTCAATTTCTGTCACAATCCCATCTTCAGACATATCAGGGATCACATACAATGCCTCTACATGAATTGCGAGTCTTGTGGACAGAGATTACAATCTCAGTATTAGCAAAATGATGAGCTTTTTGAAGATTTAGAGATTGTTGTCTCTTAGCACATTCCACAAGAAGGTATCCGGACCGGATCCACAGATGCCTTCAGTAGATTTCGAAATAACGAGTAAGTAAGTAAGTAAATACAGTTTTATGCCGCTTTTAGCAATATTTCAGCCACATCACGACCAGAAATAGGCTTCACACATTGTACTCATGTGGGTAATCAAACCTGGGACTTCGACGTGACGAGCGAACACTTTGACCACTGGTTTACCCCACCACCTCTCGAAATTGTGAACCAATTGAGTTTGAGGGGTGCACCATTGATCCCATCGACAACCAGAAATCGTGGCCAAGAATCAATACCGGAAGATGTTGCAACATCATTGTCAATGTGCCCCCTTTTAGTTTTAGTGGGTAGGTGGGTAGCCATGATGTAAAAGTATATTCAACATATGAGTGAGTATGTACATAAATTATTATTAACCATGCTCAGGGCACAGCGTGACCAGCCGATTGATAGAATCCGGCCCATTCTACCAACCGTCTAGGTGAAGAGAGGGTCGAAGTGATGTGTTGGGCAAAGGAATGCTATTCCTGGAACCAGAGCCCACGGTTAGTACAATATGGTTCATCATCTGAGTTCACCACCCTCCGAGGAGTATCGGGGCGGTGGGGTAGCCTAATGCTTAAAGCATTGGCTCGTCACGCCAAAGACCCGGGGTCGAATCCCCACATGGGCACAATGTGTGAAGCGCATTTCTGGTGTCCCCCACCGTGATGTTGCTGGAATATTGCTAAAAGCGGCGTAAAACCAAACTCAGTCAGTCCACGGAGTATCACAAGGACAGTGCTAAAAACAAGCGGGTTTCTGACTTGCGGCACCAAGGATACTCCAGCAGAAGACTTATAAATAGTAAATCCACCAGATTTGTCCATGAGCCACCGCCTTCTGGGCATAAGATTCTGGGCAATTCACAAATGAATGTTATAATTTGAATTTCGAAGGAAACGTCATTAACCCAAGACATCTGCCAATAACAGTTAATAGTATAATAGATTTATATTGCAGCACACTATACATACATGCACAGGTCTTGGCATGACCAACCGATTGATAGAACCGGGCCCATTCTATCACCCGTCTAGGAGAAGTCAGGGCCGAAGTGGTGTGTTGGGCAAAGGACGCTATTCCTGGAACCAGTGCCCTCAACCACCAGACTACCATACTCCACCGACACAGGGGCGTAATACACGGCAAACAGGTTGCCCAATTCAGTCGGCTCTTACAACCAACAATGGGGTGCTGTGGACACATTCTAACTCGGGTCCACACGGGGAGGGGTGTAACTGGATTTCTCTCTCGCTCTCTCTCTCTCTCTGTCTCTCTCTGTCTCTGTCTCTTCTCTCTCTCTCTCTCTCTCTCTCTCTCTCCACAGTCTGCAGTATGAGATGTCAGAATGTACATAGTTTGTTTTGAAAAACACTAATAAATCTTCATGACTAAACGTCACACGTAGAAGACACGTCATGAGTGTCACCCATTATGTAGATAGCCTCCTCAATGAGCTGATATTGTGTTTTGCTGTTAATATGTCTTTTAAATGGGTGTGTCATTCTTAACAAGGGTATGTAGGCGTTGATTTTCAGCAAGTCTTGGCATTGCCTACATGCTAAATGTATCTCCGGTTAAACAAAAGTGTTTCACGAGCAACTGATTGCTGAACAATCATTTTAGTTGTTCACATTAAAGATATACATTCACGCGTAAACGCAATGCTCCCAGCCAGCACGCAAACATCTAAATCCAACTGTGAATCGCAACCTTCATATCCAGGGGTTTTCAAGATAAATCTGCTTCGAAAGATGCATAAAAAATGCTTACTCTTTAAACTGTATAAATAACATTTGTTTGTTTTTCCTGTAAGTATTTATTGGCTTTTATAACGCAATAATAGTATATATTTGTATATAAGCATTTAGATATATGTATGTCCATATATAACCTGTATGCTCATATTTATTCCAAAGGAAAATGGCGGTCTCTCCAGCCATGTCTGTTGAGGAATACGAGGAGCAGATACAGCTGGCCATAGCGGAAGTCAACACACAACATGATAAAACTGTGAAAAGTCTATATGATCTGGCTGATGAACTGGACAAAGCACAGAGGAAAATGAACATAGCTAAAACTAGTTTTGCATCTGGAAGCATTGTTGCAGCAGCACTTACCTTAGCAGGGATTGCTTGTGCCCCAGCTACCTTTGGTGCTTCTCTGGGGTTGACCATTGTGGGTGTGACAATGGGAATGACCAGCGGTGTAGGGGGATTGTGCACAGAGGTTGCAGATAAAATAGTCAATGACAAGGCTTTGGAAAAAGCCCAGAAGGAAGTCAAAGTGTTTCATAAAAGGGAGCAGGATATGCTGTATCTGATGGACAAGATGGAAGCAAGACATACAAGCCAGTTCAAAACATTTTTCGATGATACCGTGAAGAGACAACTGAAACGAAAACTTTTTGAACCAATACAGATCATTCTTACAAAATCGACTACGATCTTTACACGTGTTGGGGCTTTAATTACAGGCAAGGTCGTCACAGAGTTTGTGGAAACTGGCCTTCAAGGAGTAAAAGTTACAGGTGTGTTGATGAATTTGTTGACTGTGCCTCTAGATATTCATACAATAGTCACTAATAGCATCAAAATTCACAATAAATCTCCGTCTGAAACTGCAGAAGAAATTCGGAGGATAGCGGATGAATTAAAAGGGAAAGAGGGTAAGTGTAAGACTGTCATAACCTCCTTTCAAATACACGGCTTAAAAATGAAACCAACAATGCATCTGACTGGCTAAGTCAAGCATGTCCTGCTTGACTGTGTGTTGAATTCTCCATCATAAGGGATACATATTTCAATGTGAAAACAGTTAAGGATCTTTTTACCACTGTTAATTTTCATTTAATTATTAGCTTTTTTAAAATAAATTGATTTAATTGATGGATTTTGATTAGTATGTTATGTAGATAGATGTATTTTAATGATTGGTAGTTTAGATTATTAAAAAATAGTAACTTAGATTGTTAGTGGCTGTACCCTCAAAGGGGGTTAAAGTATTGTAAAATTATTGTCCTCCTGAGAGTCCCAAAACAGTTAAAGTAAATTTCAACTTTCCAGATTCCTTAAACGTAGTATTTTTGTGATTTTAATTTATGGCTAAATTCGACTACAATCGCCAGCGGCTGAGTTGATGATACTTTTAATTCCCATGGTCCGTAGTATGGTTATCTACCTTCAGTTGTTGGCGATCATTAGCCCATTTTTACATTGTATTGTCCAAAAATAAGGTTATACTTTTAAAGATATATGCTGGCTAGTTTTAACTCATCTTTTGATAATCTAGTAATTTTACTGTCCTTCGTTGACAGAGTTTTATATATTATTTTTATAAATTTAGAACTAGTTTTAGTCACGATATGGCTGAAGTATTGCCGATGTGACTTTAGATCTTAACTCACTAACTCTGACTGGCTAATATTTCGAAAGTCTGTCATTTGTAAACAGGTTATCTATATGCAAATATCAAACATCACTAACTCGCTGCTTATGACGTGCCTTAGATTCAAAGCCATCTAACGAAGTGTCGAAGCTGTGGAAACGAGTTGACGACTTGACGAAAGAGCAAGAGAAACATTGCCAGACCTGGGAGGAGTCGAAAGAAAACAATGTATCTCACTGGCAAATATTTAGAAAGTCTATCATTTGTAAACAGATTGTCCACAACATCACTTTTGTACAAACTTACTTTTACTTTCAGAGCCGTCTGACGAAGTGCTGAAGCTAAGGAAGAGAATTGAAGACATGACGAGAGAGCAAGAGAAACATTCCCAGACCTGGGAGGAGTCGAAAGAAAAGATTTCAGAAGACATCAGTGTTGAATTGGAAGTTATTTCCATGGGTTATGAAAAGGTCAGGCAGATTTTGTTGGAGTCAAAATTGTTAACCCTTCTTGTTGAGGCTGTGATAGCTTCAGTAGTTTCCCTGCTTACCGCTTGTTTATGTCTCCAAGGTGGAGGATGGGTACGTACCACTGCACATGGAGCCTTAGTGTTGTACAACGTCTTTCTGCTTGTCTTCGAACTGTTGCCCCCTCATCTATAAGTACTACTGTGTATACAGAGCGAAGTCAGTATTGAGACAACAGACATATGCCATGGAACACATGATCAAAGTTTATCCGAGAAAACCATCCACCCACCCACAGAAGGAAATAAGCCAACAGGCTATGGCTGGTCAAGGCTTATTTTCGTTTGACTATAAGATAACAGATCAAAACTGCTTTGAATTACTTTTCGTTACTCTTAAGTGTTTCCTTACGATTTATATTTTTTGGCCTTTTGGATATAGCCCCGACTTTGATTCTGATCAAATTGACATAGGAAGTCCATCAGAGACATCTTACATCAGAGCGGTCATTGGCGTGTTCTTCCCAATGTCTTACCCACGTGTCAGTTCCATGCATGTGCTGACTCCTGACCTCTACATGTTGTCTCTCACGATGGCTGTTTTCATGCTGCTCCAGTCGTTCCAAGATTTGCGAAACAAGATCCCGTCTGACTTAGTAGAAGATTTAAAAAATCTCGCTGATGATTTTAACTGTAGACTCAAAGCTCTGATGAAATGTATGTAACTTGTTTATGTTTTAGCGTTCTTTTCCTTTATGTTATCGCTTGAAAAGCTTTTAAAATTGACACTGATATGCTCTGGTGCCTTTACTACTAAAAGAGTTTCCATTTGGATATTTTGTTCAGATGAACAATGATGTTTTGCCGTAATTTTTAATCAGGAGCAATTTAGTTTGATCTTAATCACCCCAAGAAAACATTTGTGAATAATATTTTTTTCTTTACTCAGGATCACACTATTTCAAAGAGTACCATACGTCTCTTTGTCTTTTCGATCAAAGTTACAACATCCGATGGTACAGGACTTTCCAACGTGGTAACAATATGGAAGATAATCTAATCTGACCAGTGACAAAAATGATGTCCCTATTTTCAGTTGCACTACATGCACACCGTACCTTCCCGTGTTCTCTAGTGGAAATTTGACAGTATTGTTATTGTTAACAAGACAAAACTGTTGAGGTCTTTTGACAAAAAGCTAATACATCCCAACCCAAAATACTAGCTATTTAAAAGTGTACATATCATATTGTTCTTTTTGTTATCAAAGCGGTTTTTCTGTTTGCATTTTGTATGTATATGCACATACACATATTTAAGGCGATTGTTCTTGCTATTACCTTTTACATATATTATTTCTGTTGTTTAACACTACCCTCCGCCATACTCCTACTATGTGATAACCTTGTGTAAATAGTCTCGACCAGACAATCCAGTGATTCTCATGTTTGTTATATAACACAGTATTAAAAAATTAACATTCATTTCCTTGTGTGTTTTTTATTCAGAACTGGATAATGTTCAAACGTTTAATTCTTTGAAGAGTGTAGATTGGGTTTTATAACTTCTATTCAGTTACCTTTTAGATTTTCGTTTCCACATTTCCGTTTTCATATTTTATTGTGCTTTTATAATAACCAATAAAAATCGATGTGATCGAAAACCGTTGTTATCTTGTCAGTATCTGTACCTTATATGTTTCTAACCAGTCAACTTTGTTAACTGTGTGTCCGAATCCGTGATAGTAGCCACTTTGGCCATATAAGGGCTGGCAGACGGCAAGAATCACCGGTCAAAATGCTCGTTATGCAGAGGATAAGTTTAAACTTAAAAAAATACATGTAAGATTCTTGAAAACGATTGCCTCCAGTAGGCAGGCCAGAATCTGATGATGGTGGGTCTAAATAAAGATTTGCGCTGAACCAAACCAGCGCCTGTGAGTTTGTTTCACCAAATGTTCTGGCGACCTGCGTTCTTCGGATTTATATGAGATAGGAAGCGGCGTTTAACCCAGCTCAAATCATCAAATCGTCGGTAAAGTCCACCTACTCATTACCTTGATACATGCCTCTCAACAGAGGCCACTGTTGCCATTCTGAACACACCTGGAATGTATTACAAAGTTTACTGAAATGTGTTGTTAAGTTAAAACGTATTTTTGAAGTTTACATGTATCTATAAGAAGGATTTAGAACTATTCGGTCCCGCTCCAGATAGTTTTCTAGTTGCTTCCAAACAGTGAAAGTGTTTTACCCTGCTTTTAGCAATGTTCCAGCAATATCAGATAAGGAGACACCAGGAACGGGCTTCACACATTGTACCCATGTGGGCAATCGAACCCGAGTCTTCATTTTTTACCACCAAACATTACATACCAAAACAACACAACTGGCACACACTGAACTATGTTCCTTGCCAAACAGGATAACAGAGTCTACTAGGAATTTTGCGGGAAATATTTGAAAAAGTAGACTGAAGCAGTCCAGATGTTTGGAGTTACCCCTAACCGTACAGATGGAAGGAGTAGACTCAAACGTCAAGGCTATTGCTCTTAAATAGGAAAGTACATGTGTACGTATGTTGCTGCTTGTTCAACAAGCTGACTGTTGCAGTTCAACTAGAATATCTCATCCAAGCACACTACACTGATTCTGAGACCACAAATCCTTGTTTTGTCTCCTTAATGCAGAGCGCCAGGAACGACAACAAAAGGGTACCAACTTATAACGACTTTCGTATGATGCAGCCGGGGATCGATACCCCAACCTCACGCTCTAGGTCAACCCGATCGAACGTGTGACAAGGCGTAAACAATATGAATATTTCGTTACAGCTATGAAGGCTGGTTGAACTTCCTGAAGGACTGATAAGGAGGGAGACAGTGACTGTTTCATACTAACACATGCCGCGGATACTCTAATGTCCTTTTCATTCTGTAACCATCGTGTTGTGTGTGTAAAACCTGATGCAGAACTACTTTAAAACCAATAATCCGTCCCAGAAAAACACTTGATAAGTCTTGGTCTGTGTCTGTGTTATGCATCATTGAAGCAGGAAGAAGGACACAAGATGACTGGTAGCATAATCGAACCGGGGTCTTCCGCGTGACGAGCAACCACTTGAACCACAGGGCTACTTCCACCATTAAGTAAACATTAGTTTTATCATCTGGGTACATTTTATTATTTCTCTAATATCAGAATCAATTGCAACAAAATACATGATTATGCTCTTCTGTGTTCAACTTTGATATGTCGAAGAAAATATTTCTTAATTTATTCATAATTTTGTCGAAAACCTCGAATAACTCGATGTATGTACAAGTCCCTTTAGCCTGACACAACTGTGACGTACTGAATGTGTCTCAGTGCTATATTGTTCGCATATGAGGCATGCGCAATACAGATTTCCCTACTGCGTTTCCGTAGTATTTTCCTGTTCGTCCCAGAGCCAGAGATCCCTCGCCTTCAAGCTTGGCGACACTGTACAAGTATGTTAGTGGATGATATTTCACTCTAAACGTTTGTGGACGGATTTTATATTGGAGCATTGTTGCCATATTTCGTTGTACTTTACCTGTGATTAGTGATGATGTGATGTTAATGCCCCAATCAGTAGTATTCTATTTATATCTATGTATGTCTGTTCCTGATATTATGTACCACACCTTCACAGTCGGCATTTGCATCAATCTATACAAAACACACACACACACACACACACACACACACACACACACACACACACACACACACACACACACACACACACACACACACACACACACACACACACACACACACACACACACACACACACACACACACACACACACACACACACACACACACACACAATCAGCTAAACCATCTTGACTGATTGCCCGGTCTCTTTCAGTCCACTTGAACAGGATTTGGAAACTGGGGACATATTCTTCATGAATGATAACACGTCATGAAACCAGGTCAGACTGACCTGAATATAACGATATATCAGAGAGAGAACCCAATATATGCAGGCAGGTAATTAAATACAAGGGCGTGCCGAAACATAAAGACATGCACTAGACCACTGTTTGAAACACACTTCCCTGGGAATGTTTAATATCACCAGAGACCATATGAAAAAAGGGACGGGTCTTGAACCGATGCGCTAAACCACGGCTTCTACTGCACAGCCTATCCGGAAGCTGGCGAAAACGAATGCAGCATTCGTAACTACTCGTCCCTTTTCGTAACCAGAAAGTAGACTCGTACCCCTCTCGTAGCCATTTTACTGAACGTGGCTTTGTCTGAGCGCAAAAGCGCAGAGAGAAAGAAATAGTCTAACTTGTTTGAGTGGCATTTTAGAAGTTGAGACGTACAATATGGAACAAGTTTTTATGGATAACAACTTCTTTATTTGGTGAGTGCATCGTTTCGATACAGATTCTTGTACCGTTGTCAAGCAATGAACAATGAAACTACATACATTGTAATTGACAAATGAAACAACATAATTGCCATAATTATTACAATGTATGTAGTTTCTTTGTTATACACAGTATAAATATGCAGCTCCTCCACTTCATGTATCACTCTTGCTTGACAACGGTACAAGAATCTGTATCGAAACGTCGCACTCACCAAATAAAGAAGTTGTTATCCATAAAAACTTGTTCCAGAAATAGTCTAGTCGCCGAACTATTTTCAAGGGCATGTAATTCTTGTTTACTTGGAAAACACGCATGGCATCCACTCCAAGGAAATTACCTCAAAGGGTAGTGGCACGATGGTGTATTGTGTTGCTGGGGGATGCACTGCGTCATCGAACAATGGAAAAAGCCACCATTTCTTCCGTTTACCAAGTGAAATGACAGATTTAGGCAGGAGGAATGTTCCGATCAAGTCGTATGTATATGAAAGAGACCATTTTTGCCTTGTACAGGTGGGGTATGAAAATCCAAAAGCTAGGCTGAAGATGAAAGCAGTACCCACGAGATTCATTTACACTACGTCATTCCATGTTACAACTTACTGTCAGTGGTTTTTTGACATTGATCAAATAAAGTCCGATTGTGATGAAATATATATATATTATCAAAATCACTAAGAGATTTCACATGAGCTGGAAAATGTTTCGCTATAACGTTCGTCCGAAATATTGAAATCCACCCGAAAATTTGCCGAATACAACGGAAAATGATGAAGTACCTTCATTCATTGTTTTCCATTTTGTCGAATTACGCACGTCGACATCAGACTAGCTATTTGCCAGTAGTGTGTGCCGGTAAAGTTGTTCTGTATTCTCATTGGCTGACAAGATATCATTCTAAGGCTTGACCGAGCACCATAACCATTTCCATAAGCGAAAACTAGGGAAATATACATTGTCCTGACGAGCATTTTATAATTCACCTGTTTTGGGGGCATAATTTATCTGCGTCGCATATATTATCTCTGTTCGACCAGGCTGGGATCTAGTATGGAGACTTGATAATTTATTGATGAGAACTAGGATTCATCTTATTTTTTTTCAACGAAAGAATTCTTTGCAACAGAGTAACTTTTGTAGCAGACAATTTCTATTTTCCCCCCGTCTGAAAAATATTTATATTTTGAAAAATCCCTGCTGTCACCCATTTGACAAAAAAAAAGGAACTGCAATCACATTTCAAAATATGTTTTCTAAGGAAGTGGTCATGTATTATTGGGGTGGGTGTGCTGACTGGAAATGTATCAGATTTTGCTGACAAGTAATATTCTTGGTAAAATATATGGTCTATTTTAAAGAAAATTTTGACATTTTGAAGTGGTGCCTCCCCTTCGCTTGATTCTTCTTGTCTTGCAAGATGTAAAATCGGCTCGTATTGATACGGTCTCACATCCATGTCGACACATTTGCGATCTACGACTAAATACTGAATATGTGATTGTACCCGATGAAAATAAACTTCAACTTTACAAGGGGGTGTGGTTAATAAAATCGCCACCAAACGAATTTGGAAACTGTTGAATTGTGTTGTTTTTCAATACCGTTTTCTGCAGTACTATATTGTGGTTCGTATGCGATTCCATTAAGCTTGAGCAGTTTGGTTTCATCTGCGGATTAATACAGATCAGCCGATTTAGCTGTGAACACTTACGTAAGAAGATG